TTTTTACAACTCTTTTGCTTTAGACCATCTACAAATGTTAAATCTTAAAATAAAATGTTAAGGTTACCACTGCATCTTTCTGAAAAAAATGCAGTGATTTAATATATAGTTTATTTAAAGTTATTTTCAAATCTTCAATGTACTGTCATTATAAAATAACTTTATTATTGTTTATTTAATTCTAACAAATAAGTTCTTGTTAAAAACTAACCAAAATTAAAAATAATTATATATCGGTATTGGCATCTGCAAAATTATCGGCATATCGGATATTGGCAAAAATCCAATATCGTGCATCCCTAATTAAAATGCAAGATCAAATGTAAATAACATATAAGCTTGTACACTGGTATCGCTGATTTTAGCTCCTATCAGAAGCTTTTTGTCCTGGAACTTGTCCTTGAACTCGTCCTAGAACAGGTCCCAATGGCTTTTGGCTGCTTGTTAAACATGGATGTGGCAGAGAGGTGCCGTTCTCATTGTGGATTCATGATCGGCCCTGAATGTGGCAGAACCAGTTCACGGTGGGCGTGTGAGGTGTATGTTTCAAGTCTGCGTTTCACAAGGTTTTGTGTGTGTTTGGTGCTTGTTTACAGAAACTGTCTCACACCAGCCCAGGAGCTGCCTCTCTTTATCTGTCCTTTCACAGGTGTAGGCACTCAAATACAAACTATCGCTTGACAAAGCATGACTGTGTAAAATAATCATTTATTATGTGCCCCACATATGTGGATCGTTGTTTCTCAGCCCACGTGGTACAGGTTTCACATTTAGCTCGTGTTTGCCGCCTCACTAGGTCTCTCAGAGTGTTTGTGTGAGAAAAAGAGAGATAGACAGGTTAAATCTCTCCCCTATTGTACAGCACATCAAACGCACTGCACACCTGGCTCTTATTGGCTCCACAGACCTCAGCCCTGAACTGCTTGGGTTTTTTTGAAGCTATCACGGTGTGTGTGGCTTTCTGAGACCGGGCTCTGGGTGCCGGTCTCAGCTGTGGTGCACCCTGGGGAATGTGATTTCACTGTTGCTCAAGGAGTCGATTATTGGGAGAGGCAGTGACTGGAAGCAAACGGCCTATTAGCAGAAATTGGACCAGGAGTGTCTTCACCATCACTCACATCTACAGATCCAACTCCTGTGTGTCTTTAGTTTTCTGGTGACATGCATGTTTGTGTGTGTGCGGTTTGTTGAACCCCTGCTCTGCTCACTCGATCAGATGATTTGGGCTGTAGGGCATGATGGGGCCGTTTTCCTCATAGCTAGCTTTGTGTTTTCTTCTGTTAGGTTAGTCTTTCTCTTATGTCTTCCCAGGTTGTTGAGTGTGTTTATATGTACACTACCATGTCATTAAGATTTTTTTCAAGGATGCATTAAATTGATCGAAAGTGACAGTAAAAACATTTATTATCTTACAAAAGACTTCTGTTTCAAATAAATGTTCTTTTTAACTTTCTATGTCTGAGAATGCTGGTAAATGTATCACAGTTTTCACAAAAATATTAAGTAGCAACTGTTTTCAACATTGATAATAATAAGAAAAGTTTTTTGAGCAGCAAATCAGCATATTAGAATGATTTCTGAATGTGACACTGGACTGGCGTAATGATGCTAAAAATTCAGCTTTGCATCACAGGAGTAAATTACATTTAAAAATATATTCAAATAGAAAATAGTTATTTTAAATTGTTATAATATTTCACAATATTACCGTTTTTCTGTATTTTGATCAAATACATGCAGGCTTGGTGAGCAAGACTTATTTTAAAAACATGTTAAAAATGTTGCAGACCCCAAACTTTTGAAAGGTAATGTAACGTACAATAAAATGCTGATAATTATTAAGTTCATTATAAAATCATGATAAGAAAACAAGAGATGTGTTATACCGATTATACTATTTTAAAACCCCAGGTCATGTAAATACCTTAAATGCTGATAAAGTTGTATGCAAAGCGATATCAGGCTATCAGTAAAAAATCTGCATGTTAGGCAGGTTTGCCAGTGTATTTTTGGCTTATTAGGCATAAAGATTAAATATGTAAATTCACTATTTTTTTTTTTTTCATCACTCTATTGTCACTCAGACCTGCTGTATCTAATAACATTAATGTTGACCTACATTATGTGCCAAAGTGTGCAACATTTGACAAAGACACACTGTACTGTGTGTGACAATTTTTAGCCTATACATCATCTGAAAGCTGAAAAAATAAGCTTTCCATTGATGTATGGTTTGTTAGGATAGGACAATATTTGGCCGAGATTAGGGCTGCACGATAAATCGCATGCGATATTTAACGCGCATCTTGTCAGAAAGCCATTGTTCACTGACGAGCAGCGCAAAAAATCGCGCGAATATGAACGTGGGTTTGCGCAACTCGTCAGAGAACAACGGCTCTGTGTAGTTAATGCTGCTCAATGTGAAAGCCCGCAGGTGATGGAGATTTACCGCTGATTACAGAACCGGCTTTACTGATAAGATGCGCGTTAAATATCGCATGCGGCGGTAAATCTCCATCACCTGCGGGCTTTCACATTGAGCAGCATTAACTACACAGAGCCGTTGTTCTCTGACGAGTTGCGCAAACCCACGTTCATATTCGCGCGATTTTTTGCGCTGCTCGTCAGTGAACAATGGCTTTCTGACAAGATGCGCGTTAAATATCGCATGCGATTTATTGTGCAGCCCTAGCCGAGATACAACTATTTGAAAATCTGGAATCTGAGGGTGCAAAAAAATCTAAATACTGAGAAAATCGCCTTTAAAGTTGTCCAAATGAAGTCCTTAGCAATGCATATTACTCATCAAAAAATTTAGTTTTGATATATTTACGGTAGGAAATTTAGTAGAATTTTACGTTTGTATTTTTTGAATGTGACATCTCTGTCTGTCATGAAATGGCTTGTACAGCTGAAATGGCGATAAACATAAATACAACAACAGCAGGAAAAATGCAGATACCGGTAATTGCAAATTAACCTGAAGCAAAACAATCATCAACATCAATCATGATGTCTGTAGTGACACATTTTTTGTCGCAAAGTCACAAAGTAAAAGTAAATGTTATAATTATTTTCAAAATGAGAGCTAGATGCTTTTTGCAGATGTAACCATTGTGACATAAATGTGCAATACATAATAATTAATAGTACAACCTCAAGTGCTTTAGTACTTTTATACAAGGGTTACTGTAATAAAAATTAAAGCATCAACTTTTTTCTAAGCTCTTATCGATTGTTTCATGATTCATAATATTCATAAATATTATTCATATTATTTTATTAAGCCATATTAATTTAACATGTAAACTAGAGGTGTTGCACAGTAACAAGTAGCTCAGCGAACATGTCCTTTGTGTGATAACTGTTACTACCGTTAGTATTTTAGCTTGTGTGAACGCTGTACTGACCAATCAGCACTTTTATGATAGAGTTTAGCATGTTTGATGTTGCATATTGTACCACATACTCTTTAACAAAATAAAAAATACATGCACTAAATAGTATACAGTAGGCAGTATGTGAGCATTTCACTCTGAACACATTCTTTTTTTCTCTCTCTCACCTGCAGAGAATGTTCCGGTGGAGCTGCGAGACCCGTTCTACTGTGATCAGTATGAGCAAGAACACCTGAAGCCTCCCGTCACGCGCCTTCTGCTGTCCCCTGAGCTCTACTGTCGCACTTACGGCCTTCTGCTGAGTGGAAGCCCGGGAGCCGAGGGGCCGCCCAAAGACATCCCAGCACTCCTACAGTTCCTGGGCAGGAAGGGCTTGGCACCCAAAGACCAGAATGCCCCCGTGACAGAGGCCGAGCTCCGACAGAAGCCCATCAAAATGGTAAGTCGTATGAGCGGTGTCAGCACATTCCTGTCTGAATTATGTAGAGAGCTGAGTTTGGAGTTGATACAATGGCTTTTGTATCTTAAAACCCAGGGCTTACTTGTTGTCTGCTGCTGATTTGAAATCCAATCCTTAAGTGACTGATTTGAGATGCTCTTCACAGACAGCAGGTTAAGCTGACGTTCTTGTGTGCAGCGTTAATAGCTGTCCTCATATGACCCACACCAGAGACTCAACTATTGATCATGATGTTAGCATGTAGCTAAGATAAAGAGTCAGTAGTTACATATTTATATACAGTTGCAATCAAAATTATTCTGAGACTGTAGTACTTTACAAATACAAGCTTTTCTGAAGATCCAGGATTTTATAAAAAATTGCATCTATTAACAGTTTACTGGTATATTAAAACTGATTGTGTCAATACATAATGTAATATTTTTCAGTTATGGGATTTTTTAATAACACAGCTATGTCATAATTATTCAACATTGGTGTTTTAAAGTCACTTATTTGGTATGGTATGGAACAAAATTGTCTTAAAATACAATTAAACCGCGGTAAATCTCCATCACCTGCGGGCTTTCACATTGAGCAGCATTAACTACACAGAGCCGTTGTTCTCTGACGAGTTGCGCAAACCCACGTTCATATTCGCGCGATTTTTTGCGCTGCTCGTCAGTGAACAATGGCTTTCTGACAAGATGCGCGTTAAATATCGCATGCGATTTATCGTGCAGCCCTAGCCGAGATACAACTATTTGAAAATCTGGAATCTGAGGGTGCAAAAAAATCTAAATACTGAGAAAATCGCCTTTAAAGTTGTCCAAATGAAGTCCTTAGCAATGCATATTACTCATCAAAAAATTTAGTTTTGATATATTTACGGTAGGAAATTTAGTAGAATTTTACGTTTGTATTTTTTGAATGTGACATCTCTGTCTGTCATGAAATGGCTTGTACAGCTGAAATGGCGATAAACATAAATACAACAACAGCAGGAAAAATGCAGATACCGGTAATTGCAAATTAACCTGAAGCAAAACAATCATCAACATCAATCATGATGTCTGTAGTGACACATTTTTTGTCGCAAAGTCACAAAGTAAAAGTAAATGTTACAATTATTTTCAAAATGAGAGCTAGATGCTTTTTGCAGATGTAACCATTGTGACATAAATGTGCAATACATAATAATTAATAGTACAACCTCAAGTGCTTTAGTACTTTTATACAAGGGTTACTGTAATAAAAATTAAAGCATCAACTTTTTTCTAAGCTCTTATCGATTGTTTCATGATTCATAATATTCATAAATATTATTCATATTATTTTATTAAGCCATATTAATTTAACATGTAAACTAGAGGTGTTGCACAGTAACAAGTAGCTCAGCGAACATGTCCTTTGTGTGATAACTGTTACTACCGTTAGTATTTTAGCTTGTGTGAACGCTGTACTGACCAATCAGCACTTTTATGATAGAGTTTAGCATGTTTGATGTTGCATATTGTACCACATACTCTTTAACAAAATAAAAAATACATGCACTAAATAGTATACAGTAGGCAGTATGTGAGCATTTCACTCTGAACACATCCTTTTTTTCTCTCTCTCACCTGCAGAGAATGTTCCGGTGGAGCTGCGAGACCCGTTCTACTGTGATCAGTATGAGCAAGAACACCTGAAGCCTCCCGTCACGCGCCTTCTGCTGTCCCCTGAGCTCTACTGTCGCACTTACGGCCTTCTGCTGAGTGGAAGCCCGGGAGCCGAGGGGCCGCCCAAAGACATCCCAGCACTCCTACAGTTCCTGGGCAGGAAGGGCTTGGCACCCAAAGACCAGAATGCCCCCGTGACAGAGGCCGAGCTCCGACAGAAGCCCATCAAAATGGTAAGTCGTATGAGCGGTGTCAGCACATTCCTGTCTGAATTATGTAGAGAGCTGAGTTTGGAGTTGATACAATGGCTTTTGTATCTTAAAACCCAGAGCTGACTTGTTGTCTGCTGCTGATTTGAAATCCAATCCTTAAGTGACTGATTTGAGATGCTCTTCATAGACAGCAGGTTAAGCTGACGTTCTTGTGTGCAGCGTTAATAGCTGTCCTCATATGACCCACACCAGAGACTCAACTATTGATCATGATGTTAGCATGTAGCTAAGATAAAGAGTCAGTAGTTACGTATTTATATACAGCTGCAATCAAAATTATTCTGAGACTGTTACCTACATTTAACCAAAACAAACTAGGTGATAGATGTCAGTGTTGTTGAATATAAATAAGTCATGATTAGTGATAGGTCAGTATCAGAAAGGCTGATTAATCAGGTGATTTAATATTACAGTTGTTTTATAATAATACTTGATTACCCACTGATTACCTACTTGTCAGAAAAGTTTTTCCTTGTGTCCTAAATCTACCAACATATTAGTAGATGCTACAAATTTTGTTGTCAATTATTTACAGTAAATAACACATAGTAACATGTTTGGCCCGTTGTACATAAAAATTCACCAATTTTATTTCTGTCTCATCTGAGATTTTTTTTTTATGACCCACACCAGAGACTCAACTATTGATCATGATGTTAGCATGTAGCTAAGATAAAGAGTCAGTAGTTACATATTTATATACAGTTGCAATCAAAATTATTCTGAGACTGTAGTACTTTACAAATACAAGCTTTTCTGAAGATCCAGGATTTTATAAAAAATTGCATCTATTAACAGTTTACTGGTATATTAAAACTGATTGTGTCAATACATAATGTAATATTTTTCAGTTATGGGATTTTTTAATAACACAGCTATGTCATAATTATTCAACATTGGTGTTTTAAAGTCACTTATTTGGTATGGTATGGAACAAAATTGTCTTAAAATACAATTAAACCTTTAGAAACTCCCGAATTAGCTTGAGCTGTTACACATACATAAACTTAGCCCATGCATGTGCTGAAGTTGAGTAGCAAATATGGCAAAGTATATGTATATGTATATGTGTATATGTGTGTGTGTGTGTGTATAAACAAAAACTAATAAAACTGACTAAAACGCCAAACAAAATTACTAAAACTAACTAGAATTAAATAAATAATATTTAAAAATAATGAAAAAATGGAAAATATAGAAGAAATAGTTTTATTACATTAGAAAGTCTAAGGCTACATGAAGATTTCCAAGACATTAAAAGCTCCTAGAGACACCGCTTCCAGCCTTATTTCTAAGCTTAAAATGTGTTGAAACCAGAAAACCCTCAAGGGTGTGGAAGAAATAAAAGCTCAATAAAATGTTTGATCAGAGCAGCTGAGAAAAACCTGCATTGTACAGCCAAAGACTTGCAAGATGACCTGATGAAGGAGAGCGAAAAATTTCAATGCAGAGTATAAGAAGAAGAACATTAGACAAGCATGGCCTTCATTTTTTGAGGCATCTTGCTGAATACCAGTCTTGATCAAGAAGAGCATAAAAGGTCGACTTGAACATGCTAAAATTCATTTGGATAGACCTGTGGAGTTCTGGAAGAATGTTTTATGAAGTGATATGACCAAACTGGAACAGTCTGGACCCATGGATCAGCAGTATGTCTGGTGCAAAAAAGGCAAAGCTTATGAGCAGAAGAACATCATCTTCATGGTCAAACATAGAGGTGGACCAGTCCTGTTATGGGGGTGTTTTACTGTTGCAGGAAAAACTGTTTCAAAATATTAATAAAACTGTAATGGTAACCCAATGATACTAAAGTGTTGTTTTTTTTTTTAAAGAAACAAGGTGTCCCATGAATTGCGCACAGATACATTGATTATAATAATAGTGGTTGTGCCGACGACTTTGCAAGAGCTTAGAAAAGCTGTACCCATTGGCAAATTTGGCAAAGAGATAATTTTGGACCCTGATAACAGCCCTACAAGCCATATTTTTATTGTGTTTTTTTTTACCATTCTCTGCAGTGACCCAATTCTTCCTTTGTCTTGCCCCCGTCATACCCAATTTAAATTCTGTATATTTGTTCGAGCATCAGTTCTCCAACAGGGCCATCTCTGAGTGCTGACACCTCTGAGGATGCATTGATAGCGTGTGGTGCTGCAGGCAGGTGAATGTTCAGTGCTCTGCAGTCTCCGTCTGGGGTTCCCGGCTGCAGGTCCCCTGCTGGTGTCATGATGTGCTCGGCGAGCTGTGCGGTGAGCTCTGGGCTCATCTGGTGCTGTTTGGCTGCTCGTGGTGCACTTCCCAGGCCTGACTGTGGGGGCGGCTGGCTGACTGGCTGCTGTAGCAGCTTGATGAAAGTGGGTCATGATGTAGAATTAGGATGGAATTGAAACTGGAACAGTCTGGACCCATGGATCAGCAGTATGTCTGGTGCAAAAAAGGCAAAGCTTATGAGCAGAAGAACATCATCTTCATGGTCAAACATAGAGGTGGACCAGTCCTGTTATGGGGGTGTTTTACTGTTGCAGGAAGTGAAAATTTTGACTGTATGAAGGGCATCATGGATTCTTTGAAGTATCAGGCCAAGAATTGCGATGCCTTCAGTGCAGAGAGTTGATTCTGTTCAATAACAAAGCAAAGTTCATCAGTTATAAAATCAGTTCAATTCAATTTAAACTCAATTCAGCCATCAACAGCTCTCCAGAAGACAATTGTTATTATCCAATTCAGTTCATATTTTGTTCTCATTCGATAGTGTTCAGTGCACATGGATAATTTTACTAAATATTGTCCCAATACTCTAAACAGTATGCATAGTACACACACACATTGAGCGAAATGGATTTTAAAATAGACATATTGTTTCTTTTAAAAAGTATATGAAAATATACTTCATTGTTAATATCTTCTAAAGGTGTTTGCCATCTTAGATAGAAATTTACTGACCTTGCTGCAGTCCATAAAAAAACACATGTGATCCTGCCCGAGATTTTGGACATTCTAGAAGGCCAAGGAAGTCCCTGTCAAGGAAAGTCTTTACTCGGCAGCCATATTTGCCTCCGTGGTGGTT